AAAAAATGGTATTCATTCTCTTTCAGATCCAAAAATAGAATAATTAAAAAAAAACTTTTTAGAATAATTTTGAGATTAAATATAATACTTTTTAAAGACTCCTTTTTTATGTAACAATAAAATTCCTAATGAGAAAAAGCTCAAAACTTTAAGAGTTACTTTGCATTAAAAAAAATAAATTCTAGGTTTGTGAACACCTTTAATCCCATAGTTTTCCTTTTCTTTTACAAATCTTAATATTTTTAAGTGTTTCATGACAGCATATTGAATACTTTCCAATAATCTTGCAGTGAGTTGGTTTGCAGAAACATGCCATTATCACAGGACTATAGTTATCTTCTTAAGTCAAAGGGGAGTCCTCAGAGCAGCCCATAAAATCTGACTTTCCATTAGGAAATAAACTTTCAATATTTCAAGTATCATGAACTATTTGTGAATTATTGTTTATCTCAAAAGATAAAACTTTACAAACAAAATTTCACCACAATTTGATAAATCAATTTAAAACAAGTTTTTAAAAAGTATTTCTTTAATATGATCACAAGAAAATCAATTAAAAATTTTAAAAGCTGCTATTTTCCCCCCTAAAGTCAGAAATAACTAAATGCAATTACTTCTCTACTAACTGTGTGTGTACATTTTTTAATTTAGAAGCTTCTTAATTTCTGGCTAGTTTCCCTGTCACACAATAGGCTTCTTAAGCCACTTCACTAGATTGTTGTTTGCTTAGGGAAAACCACATTATTAATATTAACTTAAACAAAAGATAATAAGAAAAGTAAATCTGCTGGATAATGGATGTATTCTAAAGACAGAAACCATGAATTCCAAGAATAAATATGATCAAAGAAATTTCATTTCCAAAAAAAAAGACTATTGTCCATAAAATGTTTGATTATCCAAATAATTATTAGAATGCGAGAGTATATTATATTATTCTCTTTTAAAAAAAACCCTGTCTTTCAAGGCCCACTCAAATATCATCTGCAACTAAAGCCTTCCCCATATGATTCCTATTTTTTTTAATCCCCTTTGACCTGTATGTCCTTACGGCATTTACTAAGTTCTTTCTTCAGTTTGTCATTCAGTCAAAATATATTTAATAAACACTGGAATTGGTTCCATAGTGTAGCAGTTAGCACTTCTGCTTTACACAGAAGGTCCTGGGTTCATATCCCAGTGGAGCCATGGTCCATGGTCTATGGCCATGCCACCCTGAACAAGCCTGATGTCTCATCTCAGAAGCTAAGCAGGGTCAGGCCTGGTTACTACTTGGATGGGAGACCACCTAGGAAGACCAGGTTCTGTAGGCAAAAAAAAAAAAAAAAAAAAAATGAACAAAAAAAACACTAAGTCTTAGGCACTGCAACTGGGAGCTAGACAAAAAATGGCAGTTGGGATTTTTTAAAAACAAAATTTCTGTACTGATTTTATTATTTTAAAAGTACAATGAGTTTCTTAGAGAAAAATCAGAAAATACAAACATTCAATGAAGCATAAAAATAGAAAACACAAATAAATTACACTAACTCAGGAACAACCACTGTTGGCTTTAGGGAAAAGCATTCCAGATAATTTGCTCTTATATGAACATGTATATTTTTTCTTCAGCCAAAGCAGGATGTATATACCATACATAACATTGTGTTACCTACCCCTACTTTTTTTTTCTACTTATTGAGGTATCGAGCACAGATAGAGATGGAGAAGAGTTGTAAGGCAGAAGAAATATGGGGGAAGGGAGAATGGAGGAGAGTTATTATTTAATGGGCAGAGTTTCGGTTTTGAAAGATGAAAAAATGCTGGAGAAGGAGAGAGGTGATGATTACATAACAAGGTGAATGTACTGATGCCACTCGACTGTCACTTAACAATATAGTTGGAACGGTAAATTTTGTTATATATATTTTGCCACAATTATAAAATAATTTTTGAGGAATATCTATAAATTCTAATATGGGATATCCAGGTTATATTGAGTGAAAAAAGTAAGGTAACAAAAACAAACAGTATGACACTATATCAAAGAAAAGTGAAAGAATACATAGATATAGACAGATATTATATAAACATTTTATATAAATGTTATATTTTTAATTTTCTAATAGAAGTATAAACAAAAACCATTTTTAGAAGACTACCTTTAGGTGGAAGAAAAGGACAAGAGAGGTAAGAGGGCCAGAAACTAAACTTCTCTGAATGTACCCAAAAGTTTACTTAGCAATTTGGACAGCTCAAAATAGTTTAGGAAACTCAGGAACGAGAAATTTTTTTTTTTTCTATAAAAAGCCACTGATATCAGGGGGAAAAGAAAGACATCAAGTTAAGAACTTATAAAAGTTGTGTGTTTGTGTATAGATGTTCATGTTTTGGAAAGTAGGGTAGAATAACATACTAGCAAGGATCTTCTTTTCCAAGTTAATAAACTGATACCCTATTATTTAACAACATCCCAATTTCAATGACAGTATAAACTAGGAATTCTCCACATACAATGAAAGAATATCAAACTTGTTGATCATGAATAATCAAATTTGAGATAACCAGATTCTGGACTTTCTCTAATCTGTGCACCCTAGCTCACTGCCATATACTATTCTGTTACAAGCCCTCATTTTGACTAATCAAACACCACTACAGGAATGAATCCTAAGCAGGCTTGAAGACTGGGTCTGCTGAAATATGCTACACCAAGGAAACTACCTTTCAACTCTTCGAGTCCCACAGTGAACACTCAAGAATGTGCTGGGATTACCTGTTCCAATTACTTGCTCCTGGCAAAAACTGGCAGGCACGTATCCACAGTTCTTTGACAGACCTAAAAATCCTTACTTTCATCTGGAATAACATTGTGTTGACTGTTGAGTATCTATGTCTTTTGCTATTACAGAAAGTTCACATTCTCAAACTATCAGATGATTCTACCAATATAGCATCCTGATATGACAACCATGCTAGAAGCAACTAACTATGCCCAACATTAATTACTTCAAATCACTCGAGCCCTCTCTCAGAAAGTATTACCCACTTAGGTCCTTTCCCTAGAATATGTGAAATTCAAACTGAGGCAACCTCATTGCCAGTAAAATATCTAGACTACATGGGCTTGTTTAGGAGGAGGGTAGAGAAGAAGAGACCATGCCATTACTATCAAAGTTCCATGGGCCTACAGTAGGGATACAAGTTCATTTGGAACACATACATCATCTTTCTTACTTTCTCTCTAAATTCCATTTAGAAATGGAATTTGCAATAGAATTAACATGTGTGGATCATCTATTGTGTGCTATGAATTGTGCTAGCTATTTTATAAATCTCTCATTTAATCTCAACAGCCCTTCAATATACTTTTTGTTATTAATGCCTTTTCACAAATGAAGAAACCAAGGCTCAGGGATATTAAGTGACTTAAGTCCCAAGTCCAAAGCCTTAAAGTTACTACGTGGCACAACCAAGTCAGTACAAATATTTTTATGACTTACTTCTTACAGCCTTATTTTGCTTCCCAAATGATTTGTACTGACTTGTAATGATACTAAAAACAAGGGTATTCCTACTTTAGTTTTGGGGGAGAGAAAACTGATGGCTTTAATACACAGTAGGGACTGTGACTGGAACCAAATTACTCTATTAAATCATCACCCATTTTTGTATATCCTAATGTGACAATCTACATCAAATCTCTCTTTACCAGTTAGACCTTGTGTAGTCAGAGGATGAGCAGAAAATGTTTTGTTCAAACTATAATGTTTCAAATATCTGGATATATAAGATGCCCTCCACATTTCAAAATCTATGAATAATAATCTTTCTATACATTTTCCCAGATTTGTTAGTTTACTTAGAAGTAATGAACCTTTGAGTTTTACTATAAAATGAAGAAATCCAAAACATGTAGGCTTCAATTTGCTGAAAGCACTGTAACAATGGATTAAACACTAAAATACAAAACATTCTCTGTAAATTATACGTATTAATATGAGAATATGGATGAATGGTAAATGCTATCACTTTTAGAGTACTTACTATGAACCAGGTACTATATATACATGTTTTCATTTTGTATGTTACAAAAGCTCATATCACTATTAACTCCATTTTATAAGCAAAAAAACTATGGTAAGAAAAGCCTTCATAAATTGCCCAAAGAAATATAGCTAGGAAGTGATAGAGCTAGAATTCAAAGCCAGGTCTGTCCACATCCAAAGGCTATGCTTCTTATCACCAGCATTTACTGCCTCCTAGATCTTATCCGGTAAACATAGCCTCGACCACAATTCTAAAACCACTACAGAAACACATATATACTTACGTAAACCTATTAACTATACCCATTAATTTGTCATACTTTCTAAAGTAAAATCATTAAAAAGTGCCTTAAAAATCACCATTATAAAAATTCAAGTAAAGCAACAAATTTTCATAAAATCCTCAGAGGTCAAGAACATATAATTCACACAACAAAAACTTTTCCATTGCTTAGGAGTTATGTTCTTTAAAAAAAACAAACTGATGTAAACATGGTAAAACCAAGAAATCACTTTAAACATTTAAGAAAATTCCAATACTGTAAACTACCAGCCTAAAGGCTGAAAAAAACAACTCACATTTCAAAATCATGTTACCTTCAATATCTAATGACTGAATTACAAATATTATATTCTGCTCTTTATCTGAAGTTTTATCATCAGCCAAATAACAAAAAAGACGCAATCATATAACTTGGATAATTTTAAACTTCTGAATGCCTTTTATCTATGTTCCAGTGCTTTAAATTTCTTTATAAAAGTATTAATGTCTAAAAAACGTCAAGTAACATCCCCCAAACGTGGATTCTTCAATATATTTAGAGTCTGATTTAAATATATAATGTTTTAATGTACAAGATGTATTAAAAATAACATCCTTTCCCTGTTTGTCAGACACATTCATTAGATTAGTTAACAGGGCAACATGAGAATCATTTTTTAAGATATGTCAAAGAATAGATCTAGTCTTACCTCCATTGCTAAAGCTGCTGTCTGTTGGTCATAATGATTCAGAAGATTAGGCATGAAGGTAGTATTATAAGGCAAATCTTGGCACATCCTCAAGGTAATAGGTTCACAAGAAAACAAACTGTGCCCACCTATATGCTCCGCAAACATAGTCAAGGGCCAAAGATAGAAGACAATCCAACTCATAGCCATCCTTCTTGGATCTGAATGAGATTCGGATGATCAGGCCTATTCAATATTTAAGATCTTTAGATACCTGTAGGTCTCAGCTTGAAGAAGTATTTCTTCTATATCTTACTGTTAAGTTCTTCAAACAGGTAAATACTCTTTGCACCGTCAGAGGTTTGTTAGCTTGGTCTCACAAAAGGCATTTGTTTTTGGTTTCACAATACGAGAAAATGACATCATCTTGTCTCTTCTCTTCATTTTATTACATAGGGCACGTTTGGCCAACATATCAAGTTGATCAACCACATTCCCAAACAACAGATTCCATCTTAGGAGAGCTATTTCTTCCTTTGATTGAAATATCTGAAAAGTATGTATTTTAAAAATAGGAGAAATTAGTCATTTCCTCTCAAAATTTGTAGACTTGATATAAAATCTTTGAAGAGCTAGGTAATGTTGCAGGATACAAAAAACAGTTGCATTTTTATACACTAGCAATAACTATCAGAAAGAGAAATAAGGAAAATCTTTGATGAGAGATATCATACTGACCTAACAAATAAAAAATATATAGGTATTTCATATAGTTTTTCTACCTTATCATGCATGCTATAGATATACTGACTTTTTTTTAACTAAGACAATTCTTAAACAGCACTAAAAGGCAAATTTTCTTCCCTCAGTGGTTTATTTAACATATGTCTATGATTGCAATTTTTCATTTATCACAAGATTCAATTGATCCATTCTGAAACATTTTTATGCTGTTCTCTTAAATTTTAAATAGCTGCCATGCTTATAATCTAAGCTATTGAATTTAAAATGTATATCTGTTTTGATCATTAATAGTGCATTTTTACATTAACTGACTTGGCAGTATCTATGAAGGAGACGGAATATAAATAAATCAAAAAGATATGGATTTAAGGTTTTTAATAGCTGTGTGAATGGAAATACATCACCTAACTTCTCTGATCTTCAGATTTTTCTTCCTGAAAATACTATCTCTGCAACAAGTATGATATATGAGTGAATTATGAAATAATGTACGTAAAAGTACTCTATAAATGGTAAAGCAGCATCAAATATCAGGTGGTTTTATTACTGAATTATAGTTGACACAAAGGCTACCTTTATCAAAAAATACTAAAATGGCAAATAGAAGGCTCTAAAACTAGTATCAGGAAATTTTCCCAAAATTAGTAAAGTTGCTTAAAAATTTAGTAACATAGATGCAGAAATACATGACCAACAAATGTTTTGTTAAAAACACGGCCAGGCTGCAGAGACTAGAAATCATCCCCAGAAAGT